AGCCTTCAATATGGATTGAAGATCAACATCAAGAAAACAAAAATTCTCACCACTGGGCCAATTGGCAGCATCATGATGGATGGTGAAGAGATTGAGATAGTTAACAGTTTTAGTTTGCTTGGCTCCACAGTCAACACTCTTGGTACCAGCAGCCAGGAAATCAAGAGACGAATTGCACTGGGGAAAGTCAGCTGTCAAGGATCTCTCTAGAGTACTGAAAAGCAATGACGTCAGGCTGAAGACTAAGGTGCACCTGATCCAGACCATAATCTTCGCAATTGTGTGCTGTGCGTCAGAGAGCTAAACAGTGACCAGGTATAATTGATGCCTTTGAGTTGTGGTGCTGGAGAAGAGTGTTGAATATACTATGGACTGCTAGGAGAACAATTAGGTTTGTCCTGGAGAGGGTGAAACCGGGCTGCTCCTTGGAGTCAAGGATTCTGAAGCTTTGTCTGACATATTTTGGGCATGTTACAAGGAGGGACCAGTCCTTGGAGAGGGACATCATGTTTGAGAGAGTGGAGGGAGAGTGCAAGAGGGGAAGTCCCTGGATGAGATGGATCGATTCAGTGACTGAAGTAGTGGGATTAGGCATATCAGAGACAGTGAGGTTGGCACAGGATAAAACAGGGTTTTGGACTCTTGAACATAGGGTCACTAGGAGTCGCAAGCAACTCAACAGCAGATAACAACAACAATATGAAACTTGATGATTGATTACAGGGCCCTTTATAAAAATTCTGTTTATGAATCTTTCCGAAATGTGTGTGCACATATGTATAAAATAGCTTCTTAAAATTAATTTCTTGCTTTCCCCCCTCTTTTCCCCTCATGGCCTTTGATCCACTTCTAATGATCATCAACCCTTTTGGATTGATACTCCGATAACATCTGCATGGATCGTCACTGAACACCTCACCTCTGGCAATCTGCATTTCCAGGTAAGGCAATGAGCTCCCAAAAGTCCTCTTGGTGCAATCACTGGAAAGATGTTAACAGGCAGTTGAGACGTTTACACAGAAATGAACAATCTGGGGAGATAGTAGTTCACCCAATTAGAGTTCAATTCGGTCCAGTCTCCATGTAAATCAATTATGCATATACTAGAGTATTGGAGGATTGATGTTGGTGCAGTAAAGTGAAAATTACAGTTTGAGGAAGCGTTCGAAGTTTGACTTTATATATTTTTTTTCTGGTACTAGCAATCACTGTATGGCTTTATGTCTTGTGGCATTACCTTTCTTTTTCTTCAGAGTTGTGTTAATTTTTCTTTGTGCATGGATGCAGAGATGGGACCCAAACCTCTCTTCACTGTGCAGGGAGCTTTAAGTCACAGGGTAGGCCAGTGCAGTCTAGATTGCCTCTTGCTTGCAGCCAGAATCGAAGAAGCTCACACTGAACCCCAGACAGAGGGTAAGTCCATTCGTGGTGGGGGGCATTGTCTGACAGATTGGATTCAAGGCTCACTTTGCTGTTGTTTCTCATAACACCTGCTCCCCCAACAGTATTAACAAGTCACAGAACCAGGCAGGGGGCACTTAATCACCCCAGGAACTGAGATTCTTAAATTGCTTCTCCAGTGATGATTCAAGGGCCCCGCTGCTAGCTGTGCGATTAAAAGACTCTCTTAACTCACCTCTGAAGCCTCCAGACATATTTGATGTAGAGAAACCTTTCTTGCAAGTAACTGCACAGACCATCCAACCTGCTTTGAGCACAAAAATATTATTACATCGTAATCTCCCTTGTTCTGGCTTAATAGAAAACAGAATGCTCACGGACCCCCCCGCCCGCCTTTGTATCCCCAAGGTGGCTGACCCTAGCCAACTTCACAGCTCCTTGTTAATATCAGAAACCCGTATAGTACAATTAGTGTTTTGTGCCTCTGAAGACATCCCTTGTGAGACAGCTAAGCAAGTTTGTCAAATGGGAAGACATTGCTTATTTGAGTCCAGGTGGATGACGCAGAAGTTGTGTGCCTTGAATGTTCATGGTTTTGAAAAGAGCTTTAGCAGAGTCTTAATTATTCTCCTTTTTTTTTTTTTTTTGTTTTGGGTTTTGATGGCTTTGGTTGGGGTTTTTTTTGGGGGGGGGTGTTTCATTTTGCTATTTGTATCTTGATAATATGAAAGATCTTGGCAAATCCCTCGTGGTTCCTTCTAATCAGGGGGTTTGTGATGCTTGCCAGGTTTGGTTTCTTTCGGTTTGGGAGTTTATCAGCTTTTGGTTTCTGCTGACAGTTTCACTGTTCTTGAGGAGAGAGAACGGGATGAACAGAAGTCATGTAGAGAGGTCTGGGTTTGAGTTCTGACCTGTCTCGTTGTAACTCTCTGTCTCAGAATCCCCCAACTTCATGGAAAGACCTAATGAGGCAAATGAAGGAGCTCTTACCTTGTACTTTGGGAGTCTGGCAGAATAGGCTAGCAAAGCAAAGTGGGGGAGGGGAAGAATCTTGTATTACTTTAACTCCTCGTGCTTTACTTTAACAAGCTCTTGCTAGCAACTGGTTTTGCTGTTCCTTCAACAGGTGGAGGATTTTTCAGATTCTAGATGCAGTGCGGTAAGTGACAATGCATTTTTGGTTTAACTGGACTCAGATCATCTGGGGTGAAAGAGCCCTGCAGTTATTTACCAGGCTTCTTTCCATGCAGTGTAGAGTTAGATTATTATTATTATTTTTTTTTTAACTTTTGGCATAGGCAAACTCTTTCAGCAACAACTTTAACCACCCAGGCTTACAGCCTCTTGTCTAAAAGTTGATGTACCTGAGAAGTGAGATGAATAGCAGGGCCAGCACCTCAAAGAGCTGATCCCTATACGGGTGGTTCACTCCTTTCTCCCTTTTGGATGAAACGGGCTGACACGGTGGAAGACCTCGCCATTGGCCAAGTGTTCTTCACAGCACTTGAGCAATGCCTGCCTGTCTCTAGGCTGCATGGTAGTTTAGAGAATTACTAGGTCAGCATTTGTTTGAAGGGAAATCAATTTGTTGAAAGTTTTAAGAGCTTTTAAAGTATGTAAATACGGAGACTTGCAAAGTAGTCAGATCCCACTGGCCAGGGGCCTTTATGACATGAGGTCTACTTTGACAGGGCAAATCTAATCACGCACAGGAGAGTTCATAACTGTGGTGGGTGGAAGTGGGGAGGTTGGCACTGAGAATGCTCCAAGATGGTACCCTTGCCGGCAATGACTGGTGCCGCCAGGTGTGCCATCATATTGCCATTAGTGCTGAAAGAGGCTAGTGAGAATCATAAGCTGCTCGGTCAGCGCATGCTCTACCTGCATGATAATTGGCTTGGCACATTGTTTCCTAAGGTCATACTGTTCACCAGTACTGCATTTGGCCCGTTGTAGGCTCCTTGGCTCCAGGAATATTTACGAATGGCTCTTCTTTCTCTTCCTACCTACCTCTATCCCATCTTCAGCTTCCTGGCCAAATAGGTTAGGGAGATAAAAGGTTGTAATCTGGACATTCTTTCCTTAGGGCCCCAGAGGATTTATTTGTCCGTGGAGAATATTAGGTCCAGTGTTTCATTTCATAACCAGATGTGACTTCTTTGAGATCTAAATTCTGATCCCACAATAGTAGTATTGAGAAGGCATTTAAAGATGTGACATGGTGACAAGGTTGTTGTTGTTGTTGTTGTTGTTGTGTGCCCCTTTGAGTCGGAGCTGACCCATAGCTGACCCTCCAGTGGGTTTTCACAGGCAGTAAATCACACGAGAGGAGATTACCCATCCTCCCACGGAGTAGCCGGTGGTTTCAAACCATGTGCCTTTGCAACTGCAGCATAGCTTCTTACCACTAGGCCACCAGAGCCCCCTGGTGGCAAGATTAGTGGCATGGTGACTTCTACTACCAGCAAATAAGGTGACTTTGATTAAGCCTCATTTCTGCCCTGAGCCCATATGTCCTCCTCTGTACAATAAAATGGAGTGGCTATGTATTCTGATGCTTATTATATATAAAGAGTCCTGGTGGCTCAGTGCATAACATAGCAAGCCACTAGCCAAAATGTTTTTTCAAAATGTTTTTCAAATCCACCAGCTGCTCCATGGGAGAGTTGGAAACCCAATGGAGGATCACTTTAAGTCGGAGCAGATTCAATGGCCTTGGGTTATTATTATCCTTACAAGGCAAATCTCTGGGAGGTACAAATGGTTTGCACTTGCCTACAGACCTGAAGGTTGGTAGTTCAAATCACTCAGTGATTCCATAATAGAAAGGCCTAGTGATCTGTCTCTGGAAAGATTACAGGCAAGAAAATCCTTTGGTACACAGTTCTACTCTATTATACATTAAAGTCAACATGAGTAGAAATCAATTTGACAGCAACAAGTTTGGAATTTGGTGTTGGGATTTTTTTCTTGTTTATATTATCCCTGTAATTTCTTTTCATAAGGAAAATATTAAGAATTTTGTTTTATTTCTGCTTTCGAATTTCCTGCAGACAGCCCCATCTATCTGCCACCATTTTGCTTATTGATGACATACATCCTAATACAGTCTTTATTTTTATTGTTGTGTTGACCAGCTTGACCATAAGTTATCACAGGAGCAGTTGAGACCTCGTCTTAGCGTGAGGGGAAGAGAAAAATCCAGATGGTGCGGGTGGGAGAGAAACAGCTTTGGTAAATGTCCATGGGGCCATTCTTCAAATCTGGTGGACTGAATGATGGATGAAAACTATTTGCAAGGCTAGCAAAATTTCCAGCCACTAGTAAAATAATAAAACGACAATTCATTTGGCAATCCCCATTGTACATGCGGTTTCAAAAAGATACAAGATTATGATTATCTCTGCCTCATAATTAACTATTTGCATAAGTGCTTGCTATTATTTAGCTGTCTGAATGTATTTCTGTGATCCAGGGAAAGCAGGAAATAATCAGTGGAAGCCATCCCCATTGCCTAGTATTGTTGTTACGCACATGCACAATTAACAACGATGCTAATTGTTTCAGACCAGAACCTCATTTGTTTTTCTATAGACAGCAAGAACATTAATTGCCAGAGTGCCTGTCACTCTCTCTCTCTCTCCTTCCTATAGCTTGCTGTATCATAATGTCCGCAGTTGGTTATAAGCAAGTTATTTGGTTCAATTTGCAGTGTATCGTTTCGTGATAGAGTTTGCAAGGTTCTGTTTAAGCTAGCAGTCAATGCCTTAAACAGCCAAAGACTATTTTTATAGCATTATAACAGTGAGCCTCTATATATTTAAGGCATTAAAGGAGGCTAACATGCCAACTATTTCTGCTGCTGCATTTACATTCTACTTAATATTCCATATCTTCAAATTACTGGCATTAGGCCAGCATATGAGAATCCTGGAAAGTGAAGGCTGGAGGGGGCCTTTAAGATCTTCCTGTCAAGTGCCCTCATATCGCAGATGAATTTGATTGTCACGTAATGTGAACAGTAGCAACCACCAAATCAATAACACCACACTCCCACCCATCCCCGATTTTCAAACCACTGTGAGCCATTATAATAAATGCATTTAACTTATAATCAGTTGTTCTGGAGTCATAGAGCATCAATGAATTTTTCAAAGCATTAGAATTCTTTCATATGCTTTCGCGAGATTTACCAAAATTTAGCCACGATGTTGATGGCATATGTGTGAAGGGAGCTGATCTAGGCACTTCCCCTCATGCGTGGATCATGGAGTACATGATCATTAGCATACTGGAGTGCCTGGGAGTATGGGCTTTCCATGTCAAAGGGTGTCAGATCCAGTCCTGCTGCTGTCCCTTTCTAACAGGGTGACGTCGCATCATTTCTTTAATCTCAGTTCCCTTATATGCCAAATGTTGTAGTGGTTTCTAAAATTGTTGCAAGGATTAAAATGAGATCATGTCTCTAAAGTGCCTGGCACAAAGTAAACTGTCAATGAATGGTGGGGATTAGTGCCCTCATTGTCTTGCACATCTAGTATACCTGCCTCCTTTAACACTGGTGTTTAATCTCCTGGTGGCTCGAATGCATGCATGCATAACTAGACATACCCACAGGATGCCTGCTCTCCCAAAAGTTACCTATGACCACTGTCTTTCAAAAGCCAACACCTTCTTCTCACGTCTCAGTCTTTCTCTTTTATGAAAAAAAAATTTTTTTTCTTTAAAAAAGAACTTTAATTTTTTTTTTAAAAAAAGTTATTTACTTACTGTTGAGAATATACACAGCAAAACATATGCCAGTTCAACGGTTTCTGCACATGCAATTTAGTGACACTGATACATTCTTCGAGCTGTCCAACCATCCTCACTCTCCTTTTCTGAATTGTTCCTCCCTCATTAAAAAAAACCTCAATGTCTTATAAGGTTCTTGTCTAATCTTTCCAGTCGTTATCGCTTTGATCTCATAGAGAGAGATCTTAAAAGAGTGTCCTGCTCAACACAGACATTCATTACTAGTTAAGCTAGGCTATTGTTCGGTGTTAAGACTTGAGGTAATTTTTGGTTTAAGGGCTAAAGACTGTCTCGGGCCAATAATTCCTTGACTCCAGAAAGTCTGAGGTCCTTGAGATTTTGAAAAATAGTGTTGGTTGGGGTTTTGGTAGTTTTGTTTTGTTTTTTTACCTCTTCTAATGCTTCTTATACACCTTACTTGAAAAATATTTCCTTTCTTTTCTTTCATATTATTCCTAATTGATCTTGATTCCACCTTGTGTCTCCCCAACACTCCTTAGGTCTTTGTCGGGATCTCACTTTTGCATGTGCATGCGTGGACACACACACACGCATGCGTGCGCACACATACACTTTCTCCCTCTTTCCCTTTCTTAAATAGAATAATTCCCAAGGTCCCGTCATTGATCTGCTTCTCTTCTCTTGTGATATCCGGTCCCTGGGTGACTTCATCTCCTCATATGGCTTCACCTCTCACCTCCACACTAATGACTCCCAAATTGACCTCTCCAATCCTTAACTCATTCCGGATCTCCAGGCTGACTCCAATTTCTACTTGCCTGCTGACAGTCTCCAGGGCAGGATATCCTAGGAGGCTCCAAGCGTAGCCTGGCTTTTGTCATCCTGCGTCAGGAATGTAGATGGTGGCATTTCGCCTCAGAAAATTTAAGAGTTGAAAACAAAAAAGAATGGGCATTAGCCTGAACAGAAGGAAAAGTGGTTTGGGAAGTGGTTCAAAATGGGCTCTCCAGGACAAGCATGACAGATAAATTACGTGTTTCTGTTAGCGTGAACTAACTGGACATGTAAATTGGCAATTGAAACTTTTAAAGGCATGTGCTTTCTAAGGAGGAGGGAACGGCTTGCCTCATGAAAACTGAGTTCAGTTTTGAGGTGCTGGAAGATTGGCACGTTGGGAGAAATGCTAATTAAAATCATCTTGCTTGGGACAATTATTGTGGTTAAACTTGATTCAGGGTCATGTTATGCAAACACACATGTTAAGGGGGTCGATGATGTATTAGACCTGAAGGATGACCAAGTGGGCACACGTTAATGGAAATATGAGAGCACTTCCATGCATGGACTTATACACACATTGCAGGTCACCTATGCCTGAGACTTTGAATGTGTGCAAACAGTCCT